CTGACATCTGTGTCACTCCAGGGCTTGCACAGTGCGCAAGAAGGAAGGGTGTCCGAAGAATTTTCTTTGAGAGAGTGTGGTTTGCATAAGCATGAAAACAATGCTCACTCTATGATTCTCATGTATTGCTACTGCTACTTTGCTCTCTCAAAACTGATTCCCCAAAGTGATGCTGGGGAAGTAAACACCAGGTCCTCATAATCCTCACCCTGCTAGGCAGAGAATACACAAGATAAATTGGACACAGAACCTTCCTTGAAGGATTTACAGAATTCTGGTGGAAACCAGCATTCAACAAACATAAATAACGGCAAATTCTAAAAGTACTTTATGAAGGTAAAGTCGGACGCTGAGGCACTCTGGGTGGAAGAGGCTCCCAGGAAGGAAGCACAGAAGCGGGTCTGAACTACTGCATACTATGAACAAACACCTAAGCATACAGTCAAATTACAAAACAAGATGCATTTCTGTTTCCACAAATCCTGAAATACCATTTTCAGAAGAATAGACAAAAGGATTTCATGTCTTTTTTGCTTGTATCTTTTCTAGTTTGTCTTTAGTTAAAAAAAAAAAAAAACTTAAAGGGGCGAAAGGCTTTAGAATGAAATAATCTGTAACTCTTTTATGTACTAAAAATAAATATAGGGAAAAGAAAAAACTAATTCTTAAATGTGTAATGATTCCAGAACCAACCATACATACATTTAATTTCAATGAGTCAAAAATGACTAAGTTGTGAACATACAGAGAAGACCCATTTCATCTAACTACAGTGTTTCTGGAATTTCACTAAAGTATACAAGATTAGGCTTAAATTCTTAATCCTGTATGTCTTAAAATCTGAACAAGTGAAATAACTTGATCAGCACAACCCTATTTGATTACTTGCTGAGGATAAGAAATTATGTGAATGAGGTTAAAGCTTGAATTTCACCGGGAAAAAACAAGGTATGTGTTAGGACTATCAGTTGTGGAATTTTGAAAAATGATTTCAAGGTACTGATTTTCCAAAATTTACCAAGTTTTACTGCCTTTTATATGAAGTACATATGCAATATATTTTCATGTCTTGAATGAGTGAATTAAGGCAAGAAGTCTGAAAGATTTTTCAAGGTCAGTGGCAACACCATATTTTGAACACAACCTTTATATTCCTATAAAACATTCTAGGAAATCATCAAACCTTGCTGCACATTGGAATCACTGAGGTGTTTTCAGAAAAGTAAAAGCCCAACTCCTAAGATTCTCATGTAATTACTTTCAGATAAGGCCCAGCTTTCTTTCCATATTCCTCTCTCTCTCTCTCTCTCTCTCTCTCTCTCTCTCTCTCTCTCTCTCTCTGACACACACACACACACACACACACACACAATTCAGCACAAGAAAAACTTAGTCACTGGAAGACACACAATCTTGCCCAGGAGATACTAATGACACAATTGCTTTAGACTTGGGTTATATCCCAGAAAGAAAAGACAAACAATTCCTGATAATCAATGCTGAACTTCCATTTAAGGGGAAAACTTCTGCCTTAATAACAATCATTTGTGTTGACATCATCATCTCATTCAAAAACAGAAGATCGCACCAAGATTAAAAAAAAGTTTGCAATTTTGCAATCGCTAAACATCCTATTCAAACTAGCAAGAGACCAAAAACAAATGACAATTTTCCCCTTCTGTCATCTGCAATGATGCCCATTAGTTATTAGCTATCAGTTATATATCACATTAAGGTTAAATTATCTTATGAAAAACTTCATTTTCGCTTCTTTCAGACTTTCCATTATAAATTTTATTTTTTTTTTCCACCAGTGAAAGTAGTATGAGGTTGCAATTTGGCAGGATCAGCTTAAGCCTGGGTGTGATTTCCGTACCCCAATTTGATTTAAATTAGTTTGCCACATTTAGAGAGAAATTTAAAAAAAAAAAAAAAAAAAAGTCCGCTGGGCCGCTTTGATTTGTCCATTGGTTTATTTTCTATACAATTTCAAAAATCTAAGAGTTATTTTTTATTTCCGAGAATTTCATGTGGAAATGCATTCATGCATTCATATTATCCCATTACTATTTTTAATGAAAACAACTGAACTGATAATAAAGAACTTGCCAACTTTCGTTTTTCAGCTAAAATATCCACTTTTTCCAAAGACAAATGTCTATCTCCGAGTGTTAAATCCGCAAGCGAAACACAATGGAAAATAAATATGTATTTTTAACTTGATGCATTCTTGAAACAACATACATTTTGAGATAATATTCTCTTTCTGCAGGACAGCGCTTTACTACCTGTTGCTTACCACCACTCATCTCTACATCAAACAAAAGGCTCTGGCACTGGAATGAGATGTTCTCGCACAACAGTGCTCAGTCCTCTAAGTCCACAGGCTACATTGTTATAATACAATAAAGCAGTTTTAGTGCTCCAGAGGGCATGTCATCTAGAGGTTTTCCTTCCAGCATCTCTATAATGTAGTAAACAGGAGAAAAGAAATGCCTCCCCTCCATGAGAGTCACTCACCTTGCCACACAGTGGGGAATCATTTCAGCTGTGATCTGCTATTTAGACATGAAGCCCAAGATACCGAGACTTTGCCTTTCTTTTTAGTTTGCATAGCTGGTGCTGGAGACAGGGATTCAAAAACAACTCGGCACAAGAAAAACTCATTCACTGGAAGACACGCTATGGTCTGCTCGACTCAGATTTCACATAAAACAGAAATTCATAATATGTACACTTTTCTTCACGAGCCCCTATTTCCTCAGTTACGGGATTTCCCCCAAAATCGCTCTTTTATTTATCCTTAAGGAATCACATCACTTCACAATACTGCTGAGACCAAGCTGAGCACAGAGATAGTCGGTTCTTGCAAGACTCACAACCCAGAAGCAAAAATAAGAATGAGGCGTCTCCACGCTCCACAGCTATATCATGAAGACTTTTTAAGAAAAGCACATGCAGTCAGACTCCTAAAAAATTTGCGAATTTTCCTGAACCTGAATGTCTCAAAATGAGCCTCCCAAGGCCCAGAAATCCAGCCGTCACACGCCAGTCCGTTCACCTCTACTCCACCCTCTGCCCCTTTCCACTTCTCACCTTGTGTTTGCAAAAAATATTAACTTCAGTTTCACCCGAGGGAAGTATTTCCCACACAGCGAGGGAGGGTCTGCGTCCCTGCACATACAGAGACAGACTCACACAGTCTGGGTGATGCTTTCACAAGTTAAGGGGCCTCGCGCTTACTCAGCAGAGGAAATCTTTGTGTCTGTGAGGAATCACGCCAATTCCTATTAGTAAGAAAGGATACAGGGACGAGGAAGCCTATTCTCTCATGGACCAGAAAAAGAGGCCCGGCAAAAACAGAGACCTCTGCCATGACCATCTGCAAAAAGGAAGGATGTTGTCAACTTTCTTCTCCCCCAAACTCGAACGACCTCTGCCTTGACCCTCAGAAACCAGATACACAGGAACAGGCTCTTCTGTAGGAATTGAGGGCTTTACACCAGAGACTCAGCACTAGGAGGCTCGTAGCCTCAGCTATCTAGCCCGAACATTTGCACTCACATTCCAAAGATGTTTCCGTTGCGCTGGAATGGCTGTAAATTTCTTTCCTGCAGAATTCTTTCCAAACAAACTGCCATGAACTGTACTCTGCAGCTTGTGCGGCAGGAGTTCCTACCCAAGCTCCCTTCCCCTCAACAGCAGCAAATCTCTGAGGCCGAATATGACTGAATTGGTGGCTGGGCCAAAGGAGTAAACTTTACAAATGCAAATATATCCAGAAAGGAAGAAAAAAAAAAAAAAAAAAAAACTCCCCTAGAATTTCACCCTCAGTGATACACGACTGACTGATACATAAGGAAAACACAGGCTCTTATGAAATTATTTAAACCGTCTGCTTGCATTTTTTCAGGATATATTAAACAGGTTGTCAAAAAAAATCCACATAGATTTTTTTTTTTTCATATCATTATAGAAAAGTGAAAGGTGACAAGGATTCAAGAGAGTCAGCACTCTCTTTCTAGCACACACACACAAAAAAGAACATACATTCTGTTTGGGTGAATAATAAAACAGTAGAAAGCTTTGAATATTAAAGAGGATTATTAAATTCTATCAGGAGTTTTCCAAAGTGAGAAACCAATGTTCTTACAAAAAGAAGGTCGAAATCTTAAAAAAAGAGAAAAATCTTAAACATATGATTAATACCGATACTGAAATTAAAAAGAAAGCAGCTATAAAAACTCAATTGTCTTGAAACAAAGCATACACTTTTGGCTATTGACAGTATTTTTAGAACTGGGCTTTCTCTGGAGACTTAAAAGTCTGCAAATCCAGAGTGCACAGAGACACAAACACATGCATGCTATACCTTTGTATTACACTGGCATTTTATTATTTAATTAAAGTACTCTTATTTTTCTAGCTCACGCATGCTTCCCTTGAGACGGCTTTGCTGTTAGCCTGCTGGCCTTGACTTCCAGCCAAAAACAATTCAGAAACAAAAAGGGACAACAAATCATATTTTCACAGACATTTTTATCCCTCAATACAACCCTGTTTCCACACAACATCATACAGCCCCTAGGAAAACTATCATTTAGGGCAAGAGCCACCCGAACCGAGGGTCTGACACAGGGCTGCACAAAGTATTTCCAGTCTGAGAAATTCTTAAGTTCCTAATTGCAAATAAACTCTTTTGATAGAACCACTTTCACCGACATCGCTGGTTTGCAAACAGTTGCCACTGGTACCGGCTGATGGATTAAAAAATAAAAACAAGCCAGTGAATGTAGTTCTGATACGGCAGAGATCTAAAGATGAGGTGTTTATGACTTCCAAGCTCTGTATTATTTCATTACTTTTGAAACAAGGGAGGCATCGGCATACTTTCAGTGCACCGTAGAGTCACAGGCTCAAATGCATAATCTAATTCACAAAAGAAACTGATTTACCAGGTTAATTCTCTCAACCCTTCCCCAAACAAAATTGTCACTTACCTGATGGCAACCCTGTAAGTTTGATTCTCTCCCATAAGATGAGTATGTGCCCCTTTCTGTTTTACCTGCCAAGAGAAACAACAACAACAAAAAAAAGGTGTAAATTGTGATTTTCCTTTAAAAAAAACTCCTTCAGGTAACAGACATCTACTTCTCTTCCCCGATGTTTACATACGTAAAGTAGGCACTACTGGCAATGTATGCAAGCAAGAGAGGGAATAACACTTCCTCACTCTGGCTATGATAAACTGGAAAAAAAATATCCTTCATTCCTATTCTTAGCCAAACTGCTCCACACTTCCAAAAACTGTCATTCCAATGGCCTCCACTTTCTCTAACAAACAAATTGTCATTCCTTATTTTCACTTTCTTTCTCTCTCACAAAATTTAAACAATTTCATTTTTATTTACACAGCAGGCAAATTATCTATGTAATGACCCTAGTCTAGTAATTCCCATTGATTATATTGACACTTAATGGTGAGGCCAAAGCTAATCAATCAAGGCTCTCCAGATGGTGAATATAGCAAAGAAACTATTCAAAATTCTGAGTCTCTCTCTTATTTTTTTTAAACTCTCTTTCCCAGGAGTAAATCCCATCATGATCAAGATGATGATGGAACTTACATTTGGGAAAGAAGGTTTTTGAAAAATTGCCCACTCTGAACCCAAATTCAGATTCTACCAATAGAGCCAACAGAACAAGGGATAATGGAAGGTCATTGTCTTGTTCCAATATCAACAATCCAAATGTTATCTATAGATTGCTCTACAGGGATGTATAGAGCCTCAGATGCTATTTCTATTCTAAGGATAGAATCAAGGCTCATATTGTTTCTTTTTAAAGTATGTTTAGCCTTAATAACCAGCAATGAAGACCATGAAACCACATTATGAGGGATCTGAGCAGTAGAGTTTAGCTCGTGACATATAAAAAACTGTTATAGAAAACTGGCCCAGCCAGGACATTTAAAAGGTCTAGTGATAAAGTCAGGCAACAAGAATACAAACCCCACCCCACCCAACACTAAAGGATACTTCTTTATTCGAGACTAGGGCTTTAAGTACACTGTATTTATACCTGGGACTATACTATTCTCTTTGGGGATTATTCTCTTTCCAATGGGGAAGTTCAAAGATAGTGTTCTGAGGGGCTGAATAGATATTCTAAAGTTTACAACCACCCAATTTTTCCCTTTCAAGTTAACACAAATGCTAAAAGTAACAGTAGGCATTTAAAAAAAAAATTAGTTGAATGACCCAGCTACGAGAGTATGCCTTTCTGATACCACACAGAGAATATATCTGTAATAAATCATATTATTAAGCGTGCATTAAAAGCGTGCATTGCACTGAAGTCATTATGTATACAAAATGGAGATGGCTTTTAAGAAAACCAAATCTTCAGTTTAAATTTAACCCTTTCTCCCCCTATATTAACTTTCCAACTGATTTCAATGAATCTCAAATTTCAGAACTTGGCCCCACCCCCACTCCTATTGGAAAATCATTGTACATATTACTTTCAATTCCAATGAAACAGGATACATCTCAAGGACTGGCAGTCTCAGGAGATCTCAGAGAGTAACTTTCATTACATGAGAATTTTACAGTGAAGAATAGACACAACCTGTTCCAGCAATCCAAATTCTCAGTCATTCAGACATATTTACTCTTCTATGTAAGTCAGATGTAAGCTAAGTATGGCCTTTGACCTCTCTTTATAAATATTACTAACAGAAAAGACTCGACTGTATGAGCCACCAATTGATGACAGTCCTGCTTAAGTTCTCACATCTAAAAAGTTTCTAAACGACCACCACATAACGCACTTGTTTAACAACTAGAAGGGCAGGAAGAGAGACAGACAGAAAGGTAAGAACATAGACAATTAGGAGGAGGCAGTCAAACAGCAGAATTGCATTTACTCTCACTTCCTAGGAAATCCAACATTTAGTCTCCTGGTTTGGTAATTTCTAAAAACTGTATTGTAAAATACAGTTTGAACGAAGGAGGCTATTTTTCCTCTAGAAGGGATTACTGCAGCTATCACCTACAAAATTGCACCACCCAGCATTATTTTCCAAGTCAACTCCAGCATGTAGACCTGCAGAGATAAATTTCCTACCAGATCTCTCTCAATTCATATTATATAAAAGTTAGGGCTATTTCTTCCATTGTTTCAAAGCGAGACAATCAAAGCAAGTAGGAAGGACCAGGGAGGGGGAGGGAGAGACGAGAGGAGGGTAAATGGGAGAAACTAGAGAGAGAAATGAGGAGAGGGACAGTGAAATGGAAAGAGCAAGAGGGTAGAAATGGAAGAGGAGGAGGGAGAGATGAGAAGAATATGAATTCACGCCGCACAGTCCCCAAAGTACTCTTGGCTACGTGGACCCGGCATTCTTTACTATCATATCAGATACAGACTGCTTAATCTTAATTTTGCTTGTTAAAAAATATTTATCCAGATACAAAAATAAACCCACTGCAAATTACAAGTTGTCAGGGTTAAAAATCTACTCCTGTTTGTGTGGGGGAGGATAAGAGACCAGCATAGACATGAATCATTCTCAGTAATTTGAGTGTTTCCATGACATCAATGGGCACCCGTCCAGGACTCTGTCGAAGTCTGCGAGGTACCAAAGAGGCAGCGCAGCCAGCAGGAGGCTGGGAGGTGCACTTTTTTTTTTTTTTTTTAGGATTATGCTCCTTGTAAAGATTTCATCTGTAGCATTCACTTTTACCATCAGAGATCATGAGTGAACACATTTCATTCTGATAGTGTAAGCCTTTAACTTTATTACATCTTTTTGTTCCCAAATTCAACTGTAAATCTGCCTTCATAGCCCAAACCTCTGTTTGGGAGCAAAACAATCAGGGACTGTGGATAAACCCAAGCACTTTCTCAAACATATCTATGCCTAATAACAAAAAGCAGCCATTTTATAATGATACCTCAGTTTCTAGAAATAAATATGTACATATGAAGATGTGCATATATACATCTATGTGTGTGCATATATGTATTTATCTTTTGTGTAAATTGTCCACTAAAAATCAGCTATGGTCTTGATGCCGATTTTCTGCTTAAAATTCACTGGAACATTTGTTTCAGATAATAAAATTTTCAAGAGTGCTGATAACATGTTTGAGTAGGATTCTTAAGTAACTATCTGTGCTCATGAACATAAAAGCTCCTAAATATCGGTGTTTACTTTATGTCAGGCGAGGATTTTTGTCACTTATACCAACTGGCTGGGGTGGACAAGCCTCTTTCCTCCTTTCTCCATTCTTCACCACCCACCTCCCCCCATCCCTACAACCACAACGGAGCTTTGAAGGGCTAAGGATTGTATTTTTCCAATATTTAAAGGAGAGAGCAGTGATGAACAAGCCGGGCGCATTCACTGCGGAATTTTCGAGACAACCCTCCAGTACTAGAATGCGACAGCCGCTGCGGATATTTTTTGGCACAAAGACAATGGTGGCAGTGCCAAGCCCCATGGCTAAAACTACTCAAAAGAGGCATAAGGGTAGCATTAATCGCTCAAGTCTTTTACGGCATAGAGTACTGTTGTCCATATTTTAAAAACTAAAAGTACCCGTTAGTAACATTTGTCGTGTGCCCATAAAGGGGGGGGGGGTGAAAGGGGGAGGGGATCCTGAAATATATAGCAGAAACAAATCTTGTCAAGCAGTTGATTCATTTTTATACCTAAAAGGACCAAATGTTAAATTTTGCTGCTGGTGACGATTTGCCATGCATGAAACGAGTGATATGACCTAATGGAATATACTGAAGGCTGAATGAAAGCTATAGAGAGGATTTCATAAACTAAGTCGACATATTGGCTAAACAACTTTCTTCTGCAAAAATGATGTATACAAGGAACATGTAATACTATGTCACAATTTTTTAAATTAAACAAGAAAAACGCTGTAAATGAGCAGACACAACACCCGTCAATCAATCCTTCTAGAGACAAAGGAGATCAACACGCAGCCTCTTCTCTAGAACAAGTCGGTAGCTACAGTGAGCAAACAATCCAGAAAGTCAACCCACGTTTTGTCCAAATTGAACCCATCAGCTGCTAAAATTTGTATTTAAATTTGATGATTAAAAATGGCACCAATTGACAATCAATAAAGGATTTGCTTGCTTTTTCTGTTGCCCTTGAAAAAACTAATCTAAGCAGAAAAGATGAACTACTTCCAATTTTTAAAAGGCCAATAATTTTGCTGATTTATTCAATAATCCTTTATTGAATAAAGGAGGATAAGGAGAATATGTTTTTAGTTGGAGTAAGTATGCTTAATACATTTTTATATAATTCCAACTGTGATATTTTCATACTCTTATATAATTTTCCATTTGACTTCTATTTTTTCCCCAATATTTTCAGGGTATCCTACTGTAAAGGAATGTCAAAAGAACTGGATGAGAATGCAAATACTACATGAAGGAAAATATGGTCTCATACATCCATCCCAGGGAGACACATAAGAAGTATCTCCTTTGAAAATGACTACACCTGGACAATTCTCAATCGAGAATACGATTTCTGGAGATAAGCTGTGATACAGAAGATCACATTGGTGGTAGGCCAGTAGGAAAATAACAAGTTCCTATTTGTGTTTCTAGCCTTTCATTCTTAAAAGATCACTTAGAGAGTTATATATAAATGGTAGGTGTTTCACCCACCACTGTAAAAGATGCACCTATGCGATGGAATATATTATTCAATAAAAAACCTTGATGAAAAATTATGTGATGCTGAGGGACAATATAAGGCAAAGCTTTTTCACTGTGAATTTTCATTCTGGGAACTGAAGAATGGGGCTTTTGTCCCCTCACATCAGGCTAGAGAACTCATCATAACCAAGTTTCACTTTGAATAAATTTCTGTCCCAATCCCCAAGCCCAACCCATCCCTGATAACCCTATTAATTTTGCTTTCTATTTTCTTTTGCATATTTAAGAGATTACTTCATTAAACAATGACTGGAATTTTTAATGGTTCTGAAATAAAGATGAGGTTGTTATTTAAAGTCCTTTCATCTTTTT